TGATTGTGGTTTCAAACATGGAATATTGATGACCAATAATTCTAAATACTTTAATAGATATTTGTACCCTGCATGGGGGTTCCCAATAAATGCAAGTAAACTTAATTTACTGCAATACTACTAAATTATTCTTGAAGTGCTCTAATGCTATGCAGGACCAAAAAATTGCAAACAAATTGAAATTTGTATCTCAGACCATGGTTAAAAGGCCTTTGAGGCTTCTACTTAAGGCACACCTCACCGTGAGGCTCATAGAGAACATCTCAAAGCTTACAATTTTCTTATTCACACGCCTCAAAACTTACAATTTTCAGCCTTATGTGAAGCTTATGCCTTTTTTTCATTCAAGGTGCATGCCTTGACGCTTCAGGAACTCGGGGAAAATGCCAAAAGTTTATCTCAATTTAATATACAGAAACTCATTTAAATTGCATATAAGATGTTTAACTGTTTAAGATATAATTTTAGGTTACAAGCTATGATTTAGGAATTCAGTGACAAAGTGATTCAGTTCAAGAATGCAAGCACCTAGTAGTCAGGAGCAGAAGACCGAAGCAGGGCTACCACTTTTGAACCTACGGAATTGCAAGCACCAAGGAGGAAAGTTTGAGATTGCAAGTAGAGAGGGAAGCATCAAGTGTGCAAGCAAGGGAGCACTGAGTGGGCTGATCATTGTTTATTTTTTACATATTTTCTTTCAAGAAAAAGAAAGATATTTCTTAGCGTATTTATGTCTTAAAACTACATTTAATTTTAACAAATTCTACTTGCATTTTTCATAATGTTAATTTTAATTTTTTTACTCATCATTTTCTATTTTATCTTTTTTAAAATTTTCTTTTATTAGCTTTTAGTTTTAATTTTAATTTTTCATAACATAAGATTTTAATTACTTTTCATTTTTTACACTAGGTTTTATTTTTATTTTTTAACTATTTTTTTCATTTTTAATTATTTTTAAAAATTTATTTTTGTTTCGTTTTATTTGATTTTCAAAGAATTTTTTAATTGATTTTTTTCATTCTCTATTTAAGAGTTATTTTGTATTATTTTTTTTTTAGTTTATTATAATGGGCATTGTTCTAAAAAAAAGATCTAGCTAGAAAATATAATATTGAAGTAAGAGTTCCAAAAGAAGGTGCAAAAGTCTATATATTTAAATTATAAATTTTGTGCAAGAAAATTTTCTAAGGATATTAAAAGAGTGACAGATCACCTAACTTACGCACACTATGTTTGGAAAATGTGAAGAACTGCCACGTGACATTAAAAAGGAAAGTGTAGAGTAACAAGAGAATCAAAGGGACAAGAGCTACCTACAAAGCTAAGTAAGACAATAAAAGATGACAAATGGGGTTATTAGTGATATCATCATTACATGTATTAGCATATTACTTTACCTACATTTTTATTATAAAAATGACAAACTTATAAATAAAGGAGGTTCCTATTGTTTTATAGTATGTATAGCCTTCTCACTTGGGCAAAATATCTAAAGGCAGCTAATGATTAACTTGAAAATTTTTATTTAAAGAATGGAATGTTTGGTTTCAAGATAGGCCAACCATGCAACAAAGCACACTCTCCTTCTAAATTTGCATGCATTTAAATTTTTTAAATTAAGCATTTGCATTTAAGCTTCCTATATCTTACATGAACTTTAAGCGTTTGCAATTAAAGTTCATAATCTTACTTATTTAGCATCTGTGTGTCAATGTAATTGAAACGCATTTGACTAAAGGATACTAAAACGGAAGAACTTATTAACGACAAATATGAATAAATGGTATATGTTATATTCAAGAAAAAATAAAAAAAAAAAAAGACAAACACCTCCGACACAGAGACAAAAAAAATGATGATGAAAATGATCCTTTTGAGAGTTGATGATGTCAAATTTTGAAAATAAATGAATAGCTTAAAAAATTATGAAAGATTTAAAGTTCAAGATGATGAAATTACCTTGAGTGGTGATAAAAATAATAATATCATTGCTAGCATTATAAGGGCTACCAAATTTGGTGTGGCTTCTACTTAACAATTATTTAAAAGAAAAAAGAGAAATGGAGTTGGAGAAATAAAAAAGTAAAAAGGTAGTTCAGTTATAGTAAGAGATTTGGGCTTCGTTTGATAGCACTTCACCATTTATAGAAGCCCTTTTAAAAACAAATTTAAAAAAAGTAGCAATATAACATTACAGTTTCTAACATTATTAATCCGTTTGAATTAAACTTCGACCTTAAAAGCCACCGTTGCGTCCCTTGCCTAGCTCACATTGGCCCCGAGCTCACCCTGCAAGTCCTCTTAGTTTTTTTACTCTAATCTCCTTCTCTCTCTCCCTTTCTTTCTTTCTCTCTCTACATTTTTTTCTAACTCGTCTTTCTTCATTATGTCGGTAGAGAGGAAAAGCTGAAGAAGGAGATTGCCGATGAGATGTGGCAGACCTTAAGTCGAGCTCTAATGGCCTCCCGATCAACTCAAAGGAAGATTGGGAGCTGAGAAGACGAGTGCGGGTGAAAGAGTTTGTGCTGGTTCTCACCGACAGTGATGCGGGCGAGTGTTCGGCACTCCTTGCGCTCCTCGACAAGATCCAAACGAGATTCAAAACACTGAAACGGAGGAAAGTCTTCACAATCTCAAAACAGCGAATATCGTCGTTCTAGTAGAAGCACTTCTTTCGAAGTTCGTCAGCCAAATGAACGGCAAGCGTTCTCTCAACGTTCTCGGCGACGAAAATGAGAGCCGCAATCCCAAACGAAGCCTTAGGTGTATTACCAATTTGTTATTTTAGATTAAATTACATAGACTCCAATACTAATTGAAATAAAGAATAAGGATAAAAGTAATTGAAGAAGATTTTGAAGATAACAATGAGACTAAATTGGTGGATAATAAATTATTCTATATAATAATTCTTCTAAAATCGTCGAAAGTGAAGAAAAGCATGATCTGGATCCTTATCATCATGACTTACTCTAGTTTTATGTATGTGAGTGCTCATATTGAATCATATTTCACTAAGATTAAGATCTAAGATTGAGATTTATTTATTTTTTTTATTTGTGATTTTGTGATCTATGATGATGAACTAATATTATTTTATGATAGTTTATGACATCTTTAAATTTTTTTTATGGGGCTTACTCCTTTATCAACATCAATATTCAGAACTCACCATGGTAAGACAATGCTTTAGTTCATAATTTTACCTTTTTTTTAACTTAGCCTCAAGCCAAATGCCACTACAAAAACATAAGTACGGAGCAAGAAGATATTTGCAGCTTATATGTATCGACATTCATAAGTACCACATTTTTGGCATAGCAAGCAAATTATTTTTGTGTTCACATAAATTATAACAGTGATTGTAGGTGTACATGAAGTCATTCTCAAACCTATAATATGCCATTATTATAAATAAATAATATGCTAGAGGTTTTTGAATCACCCAACAAATGCACCATGCTCCACATGTTCCATAGTTATACAAAAATGCAGTAGACATTATTTCATTTAATTCTAAATTGCTCGTCATGGCTACAATATGACACTAGAATATGCATAGTTTAATTTCTTGTGCCATATTTAAGACGGTCTGGCCAGCATAAGTAGACATTAAAGATCTACTTGAAATAATTGAAGGTTAAAATAACGTAGCAAATGAAATATAAGTGTAAAAAGCATCAAAAGGCATCAAAGAATGATGAGCTACTTATGAGATTAACTATAGAAACAATCATAACAAACAAAGACATGGGTAATATTATCTTGAATAGTAAAAGTCGAGGTCTGATACATAAGAGCTTTGTTGAAACAAATCAACAAAATGTCAGGTTAAACAATATTGAAATGGGTTTCCATATAGTTAATGGAACTTCACATAAACAAAAGCAAGAGCAAAAGTTGAACAAACAGCAAATGCCTATTATATTATTAAGGCATGCCACTATGAGATTAGAGGATACTCAGTGACAAATTTATCATAAGATGACATAAAGAGTTAATAAAGGTGCCACTACCAAATAAAAAACGAAGAAATTCATCATTGGTGAAGATTGATAGCAATGCAAAGTACAATATAATGCACAAGGGCTCCTAATTGCTTCAATGCACAAAGCATATAGTAAAGTAATGCTTTTACTAACTAGAATGGCCACAGTTTTTATATTATATAGGCATGTACTATATGCATGCAATAATCATTAAACTAGATAAACTCAAAATCACATTATGCAATAAATTTTTAAATTTTCAATAATAATAATTTTCAGCTATCAAAAAGAAAAAAAATCAAAAACAGAAATAATGATTTGATGAAAGAATGCGTAAACATCAAGAATACTTGTTAGCTTGAGGGAATAGTTAGAGATCAAGCAAAGGAAGCATTAAACATATAAGAACACACACACACACACACACACACACACACACACACACACACATACATATATAGATATATATATAGAATACTTGTTAGCTTGAGGGAATAGTTAGAGATCAAGCAAAGGAAGCATTAAACATATAAGAACACACACACACACACACACACATATATATATATATATATATCAAAAGAAAATAGAGAACCAAATGACCAATGGCGTAATGACTATAATAAATAGCAAGGAGAAACAGATGTTCTTGCCTAGCTATTATAGTAGATGCTGAACTAAACCACGACATTTGTGCAAGGATTTCATTCTGATTTTAATCTAGGAGCACTACACTACAACACGATGTGGCAAAGCATCTCAACACGTGCTTTACTTTATGAAAATCCATTTAACACTAAGCACTTATTTAAGACATGCGACTACTATTGCATCGATCATATTGCATTAAAAACTGAACAACCTACCACCAAACACACAGATTTAAGACAATGCAGCCGCACATGAAACTTTTTTATGAATATCCATTCAAAAATAACTCTGCACATGTAAGGAATTAATTCAAAAGATGTAAGACAGCAAAAATCTCACTCGGGCCAATCAACCCACCAGTTTAATGGCAACCTCCTCATTCGTCTGTAAATTCGTGCCTGTAAGGAAGCGCAAAGCATCAACAATTACGTACCCAACAAATCACAAATCTCTAACCCCAATTTTAAAAAAGCACTCCCATGCATACCTAAGTAGATCTCCCCAAAGGAGCCGCTCCCGATTTTGCGACCGAGCCGGAACTTATTGCCAATACGAGGCTCCATCCAAAACAAGAATCTTCTCCAACGAATCCAATCCCTAACCAAAAAACAAATCTTGCTTTTACGTCATGAAACCTCCCGATCGACGTGAGACCCTATCACTGAAACCCAAATCCCAAACCATCGCGATTACTAGATTAACGGATAAATCCTTCCCTTCTGTTAAATCTAGGGCTTGGCTCGAATCGAATGATTGGGAAGGAAAGAAAAGGGGGGAAGGGGTGGTAATCGCATCGTCTCCTCCCACATGTGCTTCGAAACCTCTAGTCCTGGACTCGTTAAATGTTTTGCCGTAACAGCAAAACGATCTCGAAAATTTGGCTTCTTCTCACCACTTCCTCCAACAAAGGCCAGACTTTGCTGAACCAGTCCAGAGCCATGAATCCGATACAAGAAATAAAGGTATAATTACGACAGAATTGCTGTCATCTTAAACAAATTTAATTGGTCAGTGGTTGAAGAAATGAGGAGAATTGGCTGCCGAGGTGGTTGGGAAGATGCATATATAATGCATCCGTTTGTGTGTTTCACTGGCACTAAAATTGAGGAGAATATTTGGGCCACTTATTTAATCAAATTATTTCCAGATATCATTGTCATTTTTAAATTAATTTTATTAGGTGATGTTCCTACCATATCATATTTAGTTTATATTAAAAAATTGATGTGATGAGAGAGTAATTTTGATATAAGTATTAAATATACGAAATTAGTACTTCCATTTCAGATGCATGTAATCTTCTTTTAAATGGAAATTGACATACCGAGCACCTAATACTGATGTATTTATCTATCTCACATCAAAACTCTCATTTTTATAAAACGGACACCCTATTCATGGATGAAAATGTGGATTTGACTGGCGGAGAGTTGTCGAAAAGGTAAGTTAAGTGCTTGATTTGTAAAAATGAGAATTTAAGTGTGAGATAGGCAAATGCAGAAGAATTGGGTGATGTATATGTAAATTCGCCTTTTTTTAATAATACAATGCTTTTCATGAATGCATATTTTTTAAAAAAAATTAAATTGTTATCGTATAATTCTTTGATTTTTACTTATCTTGTTTAAATAAATCTTTTGAAAATTTCATAAGTTCGTAGGCTCTCTTAACCTTTTAAATTTGAGCTCGGTTGTTTGGCTAGAAAGCAATCATGTTGGGACAACAGAATCCAAGAAGACATTTCGTTATCTCAATCCACAAAATTAAAATTGACAAGCAGCAAAATACGGGCAATGGTACGGGCAGAGTGATGTGGATTGCACATACACAGTCAAAGGTAGGTCATTCTATTTTGCTAGCTAAACCTAGAAGGGTTTGCTCAACAATCTCACCTTTAGCCACTGCCATCCTTTGGCACTCTATTGAAGAAAAATCTATGTACTCGAAAGGCGAGTTGACCTTGAGTGGACTCCAAGTAAAGGCCTTATAAGCTGAGAGATGAGACCCAACAAGTTGCGTAGAGGAAAAAAGAAGAAATGTGGTGTCGTCGGAGGATGACATACTAGAGATAATATTATTTGTTTTCATGTTAGAGTAAGATAAATGTGAGTAGCCAAAGATCCCTAAAGTTCTAAATGCAATAATCACTTGTGTATCTTTATAGAAATAATCCCCCTATAAAAAATAAGGAATTAATGTAAAGAGTAGAATGAACCAATGAACTGTCACACAGAGAAATAATACAACCTTTCTTCTCCATCTCTCTCTCATGCTCCCTCTTTCCTCCTTCCCTAATATTTTTCTTTGACGTGTGAATCTATGAAAAATTCATAATTAAACGTGAGATGAGTGTATATCATGCCACAAGCAAAAAAATAAGTTACACAAGGAGCAGAATCGAACCACAAAAAATTGACAAGCAACATAAATTGCAATAAAAAATGCATCACTCTACAGATTAATGAGTTGAAGAACAAATGTTGATAATGATTAGAGAACCTTAGCAACAACTGCAAGAGATCAGACATTTTAGTTTGATTAGTAGTCATGAGATAATAAAGACAACCTTCAGTGGATCTCATAAAAGCCCCTTTACTTGTTCCAGTGGAGGTGGATGATAGGTATCATCCAGCCAACGCGGGCTCGACCTCATCTGAGTGTTGGAGGAGGGTACAAACCCTGCGACCATTTTAATTGAAGAGTGTCTTCTCTAAGGAGATCATTAAAGCTCAAGCACCTAAGCACTTCAAGATTCCATCATTAGGGCCTTATCAAGGATGGTCAGATTCGCTAGATCACATTACAACTTTTGAATCTATCATATGCATGTTAAGAGTAAATAATGCCATGAAGTGCGGTTATTCTCTTTGTAAAGAGTCAACATTAAGATGTTTCAATCTGCTATTGTTATGAGTGATAATATCTTATGCTATATTTATTGTATAGTTTACAAGTTCCCAAAAACTCTAAAATAGTTTGCAAGAGCTATTGTGAATTTGATTGAATCCAAGTGAAACATTGCAAACTTTTGTAAAACATTTTTCGAGTGAGATGTTAGATGTATTTGATCTTGAATCAGCAATTTCTCACATCGCATTAGTCTGAGGGCTTTCATAAGGTCTTTTTTTCTAAGTGCTTGGCTTATGGTGCCCTTGAAGCTTAACTAGGTTATTGGAACTCACCAACAACCATATTTCTACTAATGAATACAATTTTCTTCCTGTTGTCACCTCGATAGAGCGTTTAGAAATATGTCTCACAAGAGGAAACTTTCTCCAAATCAGTAGAATAGCAATTCACCTTGTAAGATCAACTATGAGGTAAAAATATGAAAGACATTAACTTCAACATTTTAGAGAAACTATATATGTTATGGAAAGAAGAGTTCGTCATTGAATCTTATAAAAGAGTGAGTTCAATTCCAGGAAGGTAAATTAACCTTTGTATGGAAAGGAAATTGCCACCGTATACTCATTATTTGCCACTACATACTCATTTACAAGTCTCTATGGATGAAAAAAATGAAGGCTATCTTGAAAAAGGAATATTGTTACAAGCACATGCCTATAAAGGTAGGTAGGCATCTACATAACCCACAAATGTATTAAGTATATTATCGTGACTACAAACATAATATTGAGGAGTATCACCACCTCAAAAGTTTTGTCAAGAAGTTGATCAAGGCTAGGAAGCCAAAAGGAGTTTGTAGCCTTGGGGGAAATGACCTATATAAAAGGAAAAGTAATAGCCAAAGAAGCCCAGAATCAAATAGCTCACTCTCAAAAGATCCATATTGCATGAGTGGTTTTTGCCGTACTTGATGAGGATGGAGTCGAGGAATCCTGTCAAGCTAGCCTCTAACAACTCTGCTCAAGAGAAATGTACATAGCAAATTCATCTCAGCCTCAAGGTACTTTCCAAGTACCCATCATTCTTATAAAAAAGATTCATCCACCAAGAGGAACATTTATAATGATACAATAGTGTTCACGATGCTAATCACTAACAGCTAAATTGGTGGCATATTTTTAATCCAGGCTTAGATAGATTAATAGCCAAATACGAACAATCTAGTGCAAAAAGTTAATTTTAAGCTGTCAAGTAGATACTACATATGCACCATCAAAGTGAAAATCACCTAATATACATCCCCTTACTTGTTATACTATAGAAGAGTTTGCTCAATGACCTCACCTCAGGTCACTTTGTCATCCCTAGTCACCTCATTGAATAAAAGTTTGTTCGCTCCGAAGGTGAGTTGACCTTAGGGTGAACTCTAGGTTTGGGCTAGATAAGTTGAGAGATGCGACATGATAAGGTGCATAAAGGATTAAAAAGGCAATGTAGCACAGTCTGAGCTGGAGATAATGTTATTTATATGTTGATGTTAGAAAATGATAAGTGGAAGTAGCTAAAAATTCTTAGAGATCCAAATATAATCATCAAATGTGTCTATTTTATAGAAACAATTTTCATACATATAAGGGGGAATTAATGTAAAGAGGAGGACATGCCATTAAACCATTACATAAAGAAATAAAATAACACCCATTTCCACTCCTTTTCTCTAGCTTACTCTTTTTTACTTTCTCAGGTTTCTTTATGAGGTGCAAATCAATGAAAAATTTAAGATTCAAAATTCTTAAAGTTAAGGTGAGTGTAAATCATGTCATAGACAAAATATGAGCTATATAAGAGTAAAATAGATTCATAAAGAAACGATAAACAACATGGATTGTACTGAAGAATCCATCTTTTAACAAAATAACAAGCTGAATGTATATATGATGATCATGATTAGAGAAACCTTAGCATTAAATGAAGGAGATCAACCATTTCCACTTGACCAGTCACCCCGACGTGGCAATGAAGAGAACTCACTATTATATTTGAGAACCCCTTCACCTGCTTTAGTAGATCAGAATGACACGTACTATCCACATAGCGTTGACTCAACCATATCTGAGTATGAGAGAATAAGGAGGGTCAGAACCTCTCAACCATATCAATTAGGGGAAGCCTTTTCCAGATAGATCACCAAAGCTCAATCACCTGAGTGCTTCAAGATTCCAACCTTAAAGTCTTGTTGACGGATAATTAGATCCTTAAGATCACATCACCTTTTTTTAATCTATCATTTTCCTATTAATGCTAAAAAATGCCCTTAAGTGTGATGTGCATAAAATGTGTGAACTTTATAAATTATTTTTTCCCTTTATTGTGTCATTCCTATGCTTTTTATGGGGGTATTTATTGTGTTATGTGTTACATACAGGTTGAAAACTCCAAAATTTACTAAAAAAATAGAGTAGCAGGAAAGTAGGCATTAAGGTATAGAAGTGCCTCACCCAGCCCAAGCATTGACTCTCCCCAACCTGAAAGTGCCTTTCTCGACCCAAGAGCTGCCTCACCAGTTTAAAAGGGGGTGCCCAGAATAACCACTACCTCGCCCATACTGATGAGGAGGAGCCTGAACTGATTTTCCTTACACCAATAGAGATTGAATGAGAAGAAATCTAACCTTAAGTGGGAAACTCAGTGTTCAATAACATATTTTGATTGTTTCTATAATTCAAAGATATTTTAAGTAATGAGAAATGTTAAATATGATCGATTTCAAAGAAAAGAGTATTTCTATGCCATTTTTACTTAGTATGTGAGGAGAAGAGTGTTGAGATGTGTGTGTGTTTGTGTAAGTATATAGAGCTTGTAAAAGTGTTATTTTTCTCTCTTCTAAGTGTATGGAATTGAATCAAAGTGGAGTTTTATTGTAACAAAAAGATTTGAAGTGGAGCAAGAGTAGATTCATTCCTGATTTGATTATATTTCACTGTATAAACTTTAACTTTGGATTTCAATGTAAATTTATATGTTTTCTTCAAATATGTTTAAGAACTAAGTGTTACATGTTTCTTTAGTTTGCATCTGTGATTAATCATTTTTTTCATGAATTTTGTTTGAGATTTCCCTTGAATAATTACATGTTGTTGTATTATCCTTTTGATCTTCTTTTACTTTCAATCTTGTCAATTGGAATGCAAACACTTTGTGGTCTAGGACTGTTGATCATATGCTAGAAGCACAAATAAGATAAGACACAATAACTTAGTGGAATATAATACTAGTAATAGTAGATTGCAAACTAATTAGAGGATAAGAGGATTCCTGAGAAACATTGCATGGTTAAGACAAGTTAAATGTGATATAAGTTTCGTCTGCTTCTTGTTACCTTAGAAGAGCCTAAAGAGGATTTTTTCATGGTTGATAACATTAATATAGAATTTAATTGGAAGAATATTATAGATTCACACAATATAAATCAAAGGAGCATGATTTACACTTGTTATAAACACCCTACTCTCATGACACATTAAAACATTTACAAAAAATTGAATTTTGAAGCTAGACATAAAATTATTAAACTAAGACTTTCATCTTCTTTAAAAATTAATAAGTTTTCTATGAGATCGATACACATGCTCAAAAGTTCATATACAACTTGATCAACACGAATACTTGCATGGTTGACACATGTTTCATAACATCATATTTTTGGCATCATTGTCGGGAAACGAAATTAAATTTCTATTTTAGGAGAATTTTAGTTGAACTTTGAGGATTAGATTTGAAACAAGTAGTGTTGTTGTTTTGACTATTATGTGTTATAAAACCAAAAAAAATTTGTGCATTGTGATTTTTTTTCCTTCACATGTTCATGTTTTACTTTATTTTCTTGAATTGTGTGTTTTTTTTTAATTAATTTAGGTTCATTTGCTTATTAGTCCTAACTGTGCTTATGCAAGGTTGCAACTCTAACTTACTGTCATTTGACCTTAAATTTGAAAAGAACGGCCAATAGAATTAGAAAAATCACAAAACTTAAAATGACTTTAGAAGAGTTGAAAATTTCTCAGGAAAAAAAATATTCACCTTTAACCACTCAAGGATTTTACTAACCCATTGGTAGATGAAATACGCTAGAGCATTAATAACCCTACCATCTAGGCCAACATCTTTGAGCTTAATCTTGTTATAATTCAGATGATTCAAAATAAACAGTTTGGGGATCCCCTAGTAAAACCCTAACCTTCACATATACAGCTTCATGGAATTTTGTGCAACTTTTAAATACATTGGTGTCTCTGATGATGTTGTTAGACTTAGGCTATTTTTATTCTCCCATATGTGATTTATATATAGCTCTATATACCCATAGAGCATCATTTAATTTCATATCTACAATATTTCTTATTAAGATGCATCTCACACTAAGATCCACTATTACTGTATCTTTTAGGATGTTGGATCAAAATATGTCTGGTGTGTCGTTTCCAAGGAATGAAGCGTTGGATCAAAGGAAAGGGATTGAGAGAGGGAGAGAAAAAGAAGAGGAGATGAAAACTTCTCCCCGGCGGGGGGAAAAAGGTGTGCTCTCAGGCTTGTGAACCTATTTTTTCATAAAATTAGAGGTTACAAATGAGGGGTGCCCCCAAAGAAGTCCCATTTTTACAACATGAATCCCTTCTAGTATAGAAGATCGAAGGGGTAAAATGTATAAAAAATACAAGAGAAAAGCAAATGACATCTAAGGGTCTGTTTGGGACAGCTGCAGCTTATTGAATAATCTACTGATATAAGTTAGGTGCGGTGACTATTATAAATTTTTATTTTTTCTTAAAGTCAGAATGCTGCCACAAAGTTGCCATCACATCTAGATAGGTGCAGTGTGAAAACACTGTTTTCGGCGTTTTGAAAACGCAAAAGCCGTCAAAACACAGTTTACCCAAACATATCAGGTGCGTTTTCAGAACGCCACCGCACCAAATAAGCTTTCCCAAACGGACCCTTAGTCATTTTTATTCTGACCGTTTGATTGTGTCTCGAGATTGATGCGGACCTTCATGTTCATATTTGTCGACCGACTGAAGTGAGGTGGCCGAAGAAGAGAGCTTAGTCGACCGACTGAAATGAGGTAACCTACTACTGGATTGTCCCAGGATTTATGGAGACTGTTTTTAAATGTACTATATATATATATATATATATATATACACACACACACACACACACACATAATAAATTAATATTAATGATATTCATAAATAACTTAAAGATTAGAATATTATATACCCTTAAATGCCTTTCTACTCTATTAAAATCAACCTTGTAAACAATCCCCATCATTTTTGGTCATAGAAAAGAAAACCCCATAGAATCCCTAGGTTACTCTCTTATCATCGCATTCGCTGCCGATCTTTTCTGCCCCATTGTCCTGCCACCCATTCGGCTTCGTATATGGCACAAGGCGGCGAATCTTCCTCGAACTCATCCGGTTCCTCTGGCGACGACCATAACACTACAACTCCTGCTACTGACCCGCCGTCGATCGGTGCAGTCACCCACAAAATCCACGAGTCGCTCTCGTTGACGAAGCGGCACCGGTTCTGGGAAACTCAACCCGTTGGTCAATTCAAAGATCTCGGTGATTCCTCCATTCCCGAAGGACCGATTGAGCTCCCTACCCCGGTGTCGGAAGTAAAAAAGGAACCATACAATCTCCCCTCCCTTTACGAATGGACGACATGCGACATCGAAGACGACGCCACAGCCACCGAGGTTTACAACCTCCTTACCAACAACTACGTCGAGGACGACGAGAACATGTTCCGATTTAACTACTCCAAGGAATTCCTCAACTGGGCTCTCCGCCCTCCGGGTCACTTCGCGTCATGGCACATCGGCGTACGCGTCAAAGCCAACAAAAAGCTTGTTGCTTTCATCACCGGCGTCCCCGCGAGGATCCGCGTGCGCAACGATGTGGTTTTGATGGCGGAGGTAAACTTCCTCTGCGTTCATAAGAAGCTGAGGTCCAAGCGGCTTGCGCCTGTACTTATTAAGGAGGTTACACGAAGAATCCATTTAGAAGATATCTGGCAAGCAGCTTATACTGCCGGTGTTGTCCTTCCGACGCCGATTGCAACCTGCCAGTATTGGCACCGATCGCTTAATCCTAAGAAGCTCATCGATGTGGGTTTCTCTAGGCTTGGGGCGAGGATGACCATGAGCCGTACAATTAGGCTGTTCAAGCTGCCGGCATCACCTGTTACCCCTGGGTTCAGAAAGATGGAGCTCCGTGACGTTCCAGCAGTGATGAGACTGCTGAGGGATTACTTGTCTCGGTTTGCTGTTGCACCTAGTTTTGATGAGATGGATGTGGAGCATTGGCTTCTTCCCAGGGAGGATGTGGTGGATTGCTACTTGGTAGAGAGCCCTGAGAATCATGAGATAACTGATATTTGTAGCTTCTACACTCTGCCATCTTTGATACTTAACAACTCTAACTACTCAACCTTGAAGGCCGCTTACTCATTCTATAATGTGGCAACAAAGACTCCTTTGCTGCAGTTGATGAATGACGCCCTTATAGTGGCTAGGCAAAAGGACTATGATGTGTTCAATGCGCTGGATGTCATGGAGAACGAGTCCTTTCTTAAGGATCTGAAGTTTGGGCCAGGAGATGGAATGCTACATTATTACTTGTACAACTATCGACTTAGACATGCTCTAAAGCCTTCAGAACTTGGTCTAGTCCTCTTATAGCCTTTGATCATCATGCTTTTAAGTTTGAAGGTATGGTTCTGTTCTCATTTTCAAAAGCTTATGATTTCAATGTCCGTGTCATTGGATGGCATTGGTCTTATTTAAGATCAAGTCTTTTTTGGGTTCAGGATGGTAGGGTATCACACTAATCGATTTACTGGATTTTGTCATATGTTTGGTGAGATTGATGCAGGAATTGAGTGCTATTTATGTAAATCTTCCTTATTATTTTTCTCTTGAATTTAATGCTATCAAATGCTGGCGGGTGATAATCATTGAAATCTCTATTTCTTAAGATTGTTTAGTTGTTGGGTTTGATTGCAACTTAAATTGGCTAATCACGGAGGTTTAGTTTTTTTTCTATATATTAATTAGCGGAAACAGTGTCTTCTAATAGTTTGGTGGATGTGGAGATTAATACTTATCTATAATCTCATGCATATTTAGTTGTAAGTTCTGGACTGTCTTTGGTTGTTTAGGTGATGCAAATATTCATTCTGGTGTTTTAAGTTGCAATGCATGGATCCATAAGCTCAACTTTTGACATATTTCAGACCAAGTATGAGCTTCTCGGTAGAAAAGAACGTATCATATGTACAGAAGTTTAGTTATTTATTACCTATTTGTAAGGCTGTATTTCTATTACTAAGCCCAGATAAACCTTTCAATTCAAAATCTCCCAAAATCTATCAAAATTTAATTGTGCCTATGTGTTGCTTTTAATAAAAAACATTTTTTGGATTGCTTTCAGTACCAGGCGGAAGCTTTGCATCCATTCCCCCCTCTTAAATTTCAGATATTCCCTTTTGCCCCATCACTTGAAATTCTTATTCTACCGTTCCTTAAAAACACAATCAACTTTGGTTGATATTACCAAGAATGCTTGAAGGACCATTGTGCAACGCCAGCTTGTGTTTTGTACTGCTGACACGTTTTGCCCCCTTCTTTTTCCTTTAATATTCACCTGTAATTCTTATTTCTACAGCTCTATGGATCTCTCTTCCTAGCAAACATTGTTGGTATGAAAAGGGCAATCATGCAAATGCAAATATGTACCAAGAAAAAAAAATTGCTAACTATAATCTATGCCTGTGACAGTTTCAGATTTTACTTTTTTGAGATTAAGTGATGATTTATTACAATTAAGAAGGATGACAAACTTATACTTATATGATGAATTATTCTATTACAAGAAGTTGTTTTATAAATTCCTGATAAAAAGTGTAAAAAATTCAAGTCGCAGATCAACGATCTGCGTTAGACATGAAAAATTAAAACAGATGAAAATTAATCAATGAATTATTTCCTGATAAGCGTGTGTTACTTTGAGTTTTCAAAATATGCATTGATATGCTGATATTTTAAATTTTCTGTTTAGTGACTAGTTATCTTTTGGTTTTATCATAATTTAAAAAAAATCATGCATAATACCAATTTTTTTTTGTTTTTAGGATGAATCGTATTTGTTTAAATATGAGGATCCAATCATTAAGATGTTATAATTTAATCTAAATATACATATCAACTTATTAAGTATATTTAATAGTCACGTAACATATTTTACATTTTATACTTAAATATGGTCACGTATTTGTACATTTTTTGTCACGTATTTGAATGTTCATGCTTGGCTTGTTTACATTTTATACTTAAATATGGTCAAGTATCATAATTACATTTTACTAATTAAATATTTTTTTTACATTTTAAATTAAATTATAATACGTGACTATAAATTAAATTATAAATATATTTACCTGGCATGCATCTTTAATAAAATGTAAAAAAATATTTATTTTTTGTTTCACTTATTATTAATTTTAATTTAAAATAGAATAGAAAATTCTTATTATTATCATGCATAAGAAAAACAAAAGAAAAAATAAGGAAAAAAAAATTCATTCATGTCATCTTCATCATTGCATAAAAAGAAAAATAAAGAAATTTCTTGCTGCTATATCAATTCCTTTCAATTGATTATAGTTTTGTTCATTATGATTAGGCCCACTTATATATTGAAAGATTAATGCTTAAACACCTATTAAATAAACTTGTGCAATCTGCTTGGATTGTGTAGCAACTTTTTGTTTCAATGATTATGATAATACATGTTTGAAGTTGAGTTATTATGATATGATTAGAGTTTTATTTTGTGTTATTATTAATGTTTATAGTTATAATTTGTGTTATTACTAACATCTATGTTGCATGAGATTTTAGGGTAGCAGGTTTAGGAGGACATTTAGTTACAAATTTACTTTTTTTTTATTTGTTCTATTATTATTATTATTCTATAATGACTGCATTTTGATGTTTTGCAATTTTTATGCTTAGGTAATTTGTTTTGAAAAATATAATATTAGGATTGCATGTCACTAGTTCACATGTTAGTGCTATATATAAAAAATGAAAGCACACCCAACTTATTTTTTTCATTGGAGTAGCGACCGATCATTTGGCTCATCATGCTGGACATGGATAGGTGATAAGCCAGCTTCTAGCCTTATTAATGCACATCATGTCATGATTTTGTGAGTCTGCATTTAGTATAGGTTTAATTTTAGGACATCACACACATGCTTTTTTCTTCATCTAGCTAGCACTAGGGTGCGTTTTCCACTCTTCCATTTGGTAGCCTCTCATTTAGATATGTGATTAGGTTGGTTAATGCCATTCTTGATCTGACAAGATGCAAGTCTAACATTTTGAGTCTAATGATCATTGGCGTGGTTATATTGTAAATTCTAATACCCAAGATTCTTCTACAATTTAGAAGATTCCAAAACCTTAGGGTCTAAAGCCTCTCTCGGGCTTCTCCATTCTTGTGAATGTGGAGTATAAGTCTCATATATCAGCCTAAGATTAGGTTCCGCTTACGCTTCCAGATTTGCTAGATCCCCTTGGACGACACAACTCATAGTTGATAACATGGATAATCTAAAAAATTCTGACCATTTTCTTGGCAAAGTAGACTAAAAACTATAATGATTTGGAATGATGGACAGACATAGGATCTTGATCAGGGCCATCCTCCTAACCCTTAGATTAATACTTAAGGTTAGTCTGTCTATTTCTTAGGTTAGAGCTTGTTCTTTAGGTCAATCTATCTGCTTAGGAAAAATATAACTTTTCATAGAATATTCATCCTTTTCTTAGGTCAGTCGACTTGTTTTTTCTTCTTGCTTCCTGTTCTGTTGTCATAGACTATTTTTGTACGATAATCTTTTTTCATTGGTTGTCTTCTCCTAGGGCCATCCCTCATTTTCTTACTCTACTTTGTTCTCATGAGGGTTATAGAGTATTTAGTTATAGTTCTAGGCTTTTTTTAATGATCCAGACTTCATCTAATGTTCCAGAATATAATTCCTATGATCTATGAGGTTATCTTTCTTGGCTTTCAGTCTCTTGAGCTTCATTATACCAAGATTATATTATTAAAAATTAAAGAAAAATGCTTCTTATAGGAAGAATTTTGTTTTTGTATTCAGTACATAGATTATTTTGATCACAATCCTATGACTATGTTCCCTTCATCCTAAAATCTCACCTATACCCTCACTTCCAATAAATCTTTGTTCATCACCAAATGAACCCTAGCAAGCCTTAAAATTTCTCCATCCCCACCTACATTAAAGATTGCCCATTTAAATGTGCTTCAATGCTCATGGATTATGACTTATATTTACTTTGAGTCATTATATTCCTCATTGAATGAGAGTGATTATCATCAAATAAACGAAAGTTAAAACACATGCAAGATGTCTTAATTTAGATTTTTCATAAGCATCACCTGATATATATTTATCAATCTTAAGAAAAATGTTCTTTGTGGAAACTTTAGCCCTAGAATATTTACATTAAGAATATGAGAACATTTTCGGGATCTAAATATCTATCTTGCATATCACTAATATCATGGGTTCATAAGGTCATAAAGAAAATTGATCTTAGTTCAATTATTTACTAGAATTTATTGAAATTATCTAAAGTCACTATTTCACACACACACACAACAATTACAACTAAAATGAAGTTAATGAACAACAAACAAGTTTGTTTGTGGACATAAATAAACAAGCTTAGCCATATCAAACTTGATTGACTATTAATTAAGCTGAGCTTGAATTATTTATCATGTGCGTTAGTTCATTTATAGCCTTGTCTTCTGTCTCTTGATTGGAACATAATACATATTGGGTGATTGAGGACTTGAACTTTAACTTAAAAGATTTGATAGAAAAAAGACAACTTTAGTTAAATGAATTAGATTACATCATATTATAAGCCTATGTGAATGCTGAAGATTTATAAGGAGCAAAGTAAAAGATGGTATGGTCAGAAGCACCAAAAAGTAAAGTTTAAATGTTAGATATATAAATTCATAGAAATTGGGTGATAGGTATGTAAATGCATCAAAAAAAAAAAAAAAAAATCTATTACTTAATTCTAAATTGAAATTATTTCTAGTTAAAGATATTTATAGCCTTCTATAGGGGGTAAAATTATCCCATATGGAGTAATTGATATTTAGGATGGAAAAGATGCCCATTTTGAAATTAATGATAAAATATTAAAGCCTTATTTAAGAGGGCATGTAAACTGATATAAAGTAGCTATCAGCTTGGTTCATTCTAAATAGAATTTGACATATTTAGGTTGAGGATTATAAATTAAGTGTTACTTGAGAGGCAACCTAAGATTTATTTGATATTTTGTTATTTTTGTGTTTTATAGTTTGTCTGAAAAAATGAAACTTAATCAAATTATGTGTTGGAGGTTGAAGCATGTAGGCTTTAATGGTTTAGCGCTACGGCACCGAGTGTTTTGTATTGTTTGTTTTTTGATGTGTAATTTTACATGTATTGTATGCAAAGATAAGTAGCGTCACAACTCGTGCTTTGTAGCAATACAGTACTTGATATGTAGGCTCACATCATATGTTTCTTAACGTTGTGTCGTTGATTTGAGAATCTTTTGTTGTGTTGTACTTACGATATTCGTAATGCGGTTTTGTCTTTTTACAAACTGTAACTTTTTCACTTACAGCGCCGCAATATTACCTCTTTAGCATCGCAGCACCGATCAAGTCAAAGTGCTTTTGGCAACTTTCTGTTAGTATTTAGAATCATCAAAATCCCAAGCATATCAAAACATCGCTCATTCAATGTATTTCAAGAGTTGACTATTTTTTTGATGTAAAATTCAATGAAATTTAGTGTAATTAATGATGCTTTTATGACACTTTTGACTTCTTTTTTACAATTTGACTTGAGGTCCTAGCACCACATCGCTACCTGGGCAATGCCGCAACACTATATGCCTGAAATTTTAGCGCGGCAACCCTATATATTAGCCTAAGTCGATTTCATTTTCATTATGAGAGTGAATAAAAGCAGAGCGTTGACTAAGTGGGGAAATTTCCTTTTGGGTTAGAAAACCATGTTAGATTATTATTATTAAACATGCTGATGTCAATCAAGATTTTAATAAAGAAAAAGAGAATGGATGATCATTTGACTCTAGGGAATTTGTGAGTAGTGACAGAGGGAGAGTTACTCTAAAATTTTAATCCATGTGAACCTTGTTCTTTAGATGGGTTTCCTTAGCCAGGTGATGGAGTAGAAAGTATGAATTGCTAGTATGTGTTGTAAGCACTTTATAAATGTACCTGAAGTAGTTGTGGTGGTTGTGAGAGAATTCTCTATCAACTTTAATGAACATCAGTACTTTAAGGTCTATGTTAGAGGGGAACATACTTTCTTTGATATTGTTACCATTAATAATGCCTATAAATTAAAAGAAATGGATTATGATGATTATACAAATTTTCATAACATGCATCCTAATTTTGAAAGATCTTTAGTTTCTAACTAAGCCAGATTCCCATGTAGTATGGAAGAAGAGCGGAGAAACTATTGAAATTTTCTGCTAAGCTTGATATTATTTTATTTCTTCTAAGCTCTGGTGCATGGTATAAATATCAATGAGATGACTAAGGATCATTCTATTTTGACTAATGCTATCTATAAAAGAATGTCCATATTCATAGAAAAAATCATTCAAATTTCTATATCAAATATGTTGAAAGGTAGCACCATAATCGTTTACTATCTTTGTGCTTAGGTGAGTGTTTTAGGAGGTTCTTTTGAGCAACAATTATTTTCAAGATTTGCATGAATAAGTAGCAAAATTTTATCTTATAAGGGATCATCTTTTGAGCATGGGGAGACTTCCACTACATCTACACCTGCCAGATCTAGATCATCCAAAACCATTATTGAGTAGGTGAATAAGTTGAGCGAGCAGTAGTCTTGCAAAGGATTGGAAATGTGGGGTTGAGAAATGAGCCACAAATTTTATCACTACATAGAGAAGCAACAAATACAGTTTTTTTCTATGTAATTGACTATGGGTCTGTTTGGGGCAGCCACAACTTATTAAAAAGCAGCTGTAAAGCCGCTGAATAATAATTTGATGCTCAAAAAGCTACAGCGACTATTACAAAATTTTTTTTTTTCAAGTTAAACCGCACCTAGAAAGCTGTCTCAACACATATCTAGGAGTGATGAAAAAATGTAGCTTTCAGTGGTAGTTTTTTGAAAAACCTGTCAAAATACAGTTTACCCAAACAAACAAAATTGCAGTGCAATGCCGTATCGCCATCCCCAAACAGACCCTACATCTCAGCATTAGCCCACATGTTTATGAACTACCAGCTCAATGTGGGCCCAACAGATTTTTCTTTCCCGATGCACCCTAATTCCAATCCTATGCAGGACCTAACCCCACACTATAAGAGCAACAAGAAGAAGAAGAACGAAGAATTGGAAGTTCATGTCTTGTCTTTTATTATTTTGTGCTGGTTTTTATTTTTATTTTTGTTGTAGTTAAAAATTGAGCTGAGGCAGAGAGATTGGTCTGAGGAAGTAATATGCATGGGATCTAATTTTTGTTATTTATGCATATTTTTGTATTTTACTTTGTTATAGCTCCTTGACGTTTAGGCTTTGGCGATGCAGTGCAATAGAAAATTTTTTTCCTATTGTGCTTCAAGTAATTATATAATTTAGTGTAACTTGGTTAACTATTTGATTAGCATTATCTTAGAATTAAAAATTTTTAAATTATATTTTATTAAATTAAAAAGCCAATAAAATAATTCTCTAAAAAAAGTGTAAAGAAAAAATAAAAGACAAGAAACAGATGAAAATGAAAGAATAAAATAAAAATAGAAGAAAAAAAAATTTGAGGTTTAGTATTAAAATGAAATATTAATGCTTCATATACATCTATAATTCAATAATCAAATTTCTATGAAATTTAAATTGATTATATTATATTCATAAGAGTGCATCTTAATTATGATTATCTAAATTACTAATGATAAAGTTTATAATAATTGGCGAACTAAAAAATATTAAAGGCAATTAGAAACACTAGAAAGTAGAAAACTAGTTGAAGTGAGAATTTAGGCTATTGGTAGTTATTTATTATTCATGATTAATAATTGATATATATGTGGCTAATTTTTTTTTCTAAAATTATTATTTAATGATAATTAAATTTTAAAATAATTACAATCAAATAAATCAAAGATATGATGATATTATATTTAAATACTTCAGAAAAGGTAATCATTTGACTTTGAGTATATTTTTTAAGAAAAATGAACTAAATAACAATATAAATTTTCTAAATATTAATTTAGTTTATAGTTTATTATGACTAATTATGTGATTTTTTAGAAAAAAATTTACGGGAGAAGATTTGAAATAGAAAAATAGAAAATATTTAGGTTGCGCCTCAAGGCTACATCAATAATGCTGCAATTCTATATTTTAAAAAAAATATATCAAAGAAATTGATAGCATAGAGTCTATGTGGTAAATCACCAATGTCACAGTGCTAGAATATTGGCGCCTCGGTGGCAATTGTACGATTCAACGATGATAGAGAAGCTGAATAAAATGCCCAAAAACCTTAGAGCTCAGTGCTTAAGGCTTGATATCTTGTACCACATGGCCTAGGAAGAGAAGAGTTAAAGATTTAAGTCATAGAGTTTGTTGCCTCAGTGCATATGATGGAGCGCTCTAGTACTAAGAGCTTAAATTAAGCCAAAAAGATAGAAGATATTAGCACCTTAGTACCACATTAAGTTTCATTGCACTAACTTCCTAGTTTCGTAACATGATGGTTTTAACATTCAGTTTCAAAACTATTTAGAGAGGATTTACGTAGTTATTTTAGTACTTGTCAAAAAATTTTTATTGTGGAGTCAAAAAAAGTATACTATGAGTGTTAAGTCAAAGTATATTATAAATGTGAGAGTGTCCGGGTGGAGAGTGAAGTGAGAGTAAATAGAGAAGAGAAAGAGGAGCCCAAAAGAAAAATTGCATTGCAAGGGCAAGGAGCAACATAAATTTGATTTAGGTGATTAGCAAACCTGGTTCTTTCTTTTCTTGAGATATTTTCTCCAATACAGTTTTTAAATGTTTAAGTTTTGTATCTTTTATTTCTTTTCTATGAACGTTAAATAATTGTATTATTTTAGGTTTCTGGTGAACCTAAAATATTTTGTATAATTTTTTTGTTGTTGATGTATGAATAAAATTGGATAGTTTGTTTTGGTATATTCATTCTTAGTTTAGTTTTGTACAAGTCATTTGCATCTTAAATCCCAATTTGAGCTATATGCATTAGAAGGTTGATACTTAAATAATCAGAATGAAACAAATGAATCTTCAAGTATATAAGAATATACTACATGAGATTTATAATTTATTAAAAAATATATTTCTTTTGATATTTAATCAGTTTAGCTATACTTAGTTAGCAAGAGTTATTAGTTTTTCATGTTATTGACGGAGGTTAGAGACACTAATCATAGATTAAGATTTTGCAAACCATAGATTCAAAGTTGTTTCTTTCCATTCTAATTTAACAACATTGTATTGCTTAGGTTTTACAAAATTTATCTGTTCAATTATCATAAAATTCAAGTTATTAGATAAAAATATAGGGTAATATTCTCTCAATATTTAGTTTTTTAAATATTCGTAAGTATATCCTAATAGAAATGCCACTTTACTGATTCCTATAGTATTTGTGCATTATGTGCACTTGCGTATATCATTTCAGCCGGTAAAAAATCTATACTATCAGTGTATTATTTGTTAACATTTTTGCTAAAGTAGATGTAAAATTCTCCTTATCCTAGCTATTAGGTTTCTTCTTCTACGTGCCACCAATTCAAGAGAACTAGATGATAATTGGGTATATAATGCTTCATTGGTGAGCACTCAAAGACTTATCTATCATCATTGTCATTTTCTCCTTTAACTCATTCATTTGCTATGCTACAGATTCTCTTGTGCACATCTTATTGATAGAATGGTCTCTGTTGATTGGTTCAGCTTCATGAACAACTCTTCATCCTGTTATTGACATATTAGTGCTTATCACACCTTTGAGGATATTAGATCCTAAAATGTCCGTGAGTGTACCACCTAAAAAAGACTTATGTAAGAAGGGAAGAAATAGGAAGAAAAAAAGAAACAAAAGGAAGAAGAAAAATCACTTTGAGATTTTTATTACTATCAAATGAGTGATTACAGTGATTTGTTTATGGAATATCATGGGATTAGCCCTCCTAGGATTTCTCTAAGAAGCTCTGTAGAAGCCTTCCCTTTTTGGTGACCATCTCTATTTATAGGCTGAGCTGGAACTAGATATTTTACACAAGAAATAAAAAATACATTATAATTGATTTGAAGTAATAGTACAAAACAAGATAAATGAAGGTGCAACCTATGTACGTCTTAACATGTTCAACCATTTGTTGAGTTGTCAAAGATGATCTATGTAGTTGGGGAAACTCGTCATAGGAGTTATTGTGGAAGTTTGGCCAAGTTGTTTCTCTGAACTAGTTTAAGTTGACAGACCAAATTGATTGACTTAGTTGCCTGAGTCAATTGGTCTGGCGAGGTCACTCTATTGAACTAGCTAATCAAACTAGTTAGTAGACTCACAACTTGACTTGAACTTGATCATTTTATAATTAGGATCACTAAATTGATATGTGGAGACAAATGATAATTATAAGGTTTGTGATGATAATTTTCATGCATGAAAATTTGACTTGAAGAGTTT